GATCACTATTGATTAAATGTTGACTAAAAGAAGAATAAGGCCCTGAATTACAGCACAAACCATAACAGATCTGTATGGAGAACAGGCCAGCGAAGGACAGAGGCTTCATTATTTACACACAGACCTTGAGAAAGACAGCCAGATTTAATGGAGAGAAAGAAAAGAGCTAATCAGCAAGATTATGTGGATGCAATTACAACATCAAAGCCACACGGCGCCTTAAAAAGCACCCGAAAAAAGCATATGGAGGTAAAACTGTATGCAAATGCAGCGCTGATGGGATCATGCGGTTTTCTGTCACCAGAAACACAAGACAGTTCTTAAAGAGACAGTTCACTGAAATAGTGTTTACTAATCCTGCACTTCCAAATAAACTAATAAACTACTCCATTAGAAGTATTAACTCCTATTTTTTACAATACTTGGATCAAAGTTCGAAAGCACTTGATTTTTCGCTTATTTTAAGTAGTAAATGTAGTCTACTTACTGATTAAGAAAGTTGAAGTCACACTCTGATAAACGCAATGATAAATCATGATAATGTAAATAAAACCATGTAAAAACACTTTCACACACTGAATTCAGACCAGTTGCTTTACTGGATACTCACTCTAAATGGATCATATGAATCATTGAGTTGTTAACTGAAGACTCACTCTGAACGGATAATTTGAATCAGTTAATTATTTACTGGAACTGACTCAGACAGGATCATTTGATTCAGTGAGTTGTTTACTGAAGACTAGCTCTGAACCGATCTTTTGAATCAGTGAGTTGAGAATCGCTCTGAATGGATCATTTGAATCAGTGAGTTGTTTACTAGAGACTCACTCTGAACAGATCTTTTGAATCAGTGAGTTGTTTACTAATAACTCACTCTGAACGGATCATTTGATTCAGTGAGATGTTTACTGAAGACTCACTTTGAACAGATCATTTGAATCAGCAGGTTGTTAGCTGAAGAATCACTATGAATGGATCATTTGAATCAGTGAGTTGTTTTCTAGAGACTCCCTGTGAATGGATGATTTTGGGTCCATTAGTACCAATTGAGGATTGTGTCCACGCTACAGCCTACCTGAGTATTGCTGCTGACCATGTCCATCCCTTTATGAGCACAGTGTCTCCATCTTCTGATATCTACTTCCAGCAGGATAACGCACCATGTCATAAAGCGTGAATCATCTCAGACTGGTTTCTTGAACATGACAATGAGTTCACTGTACTCAAATGGCCTCCACAGTCACCGGGACTCAATCCAATAGAGCAGTTCTGAAGACAAAAGTGGGTCCAACCCGGTTCTAGTAAGGTGTACCTAATAAAGTGGCCAGCGAGTGTAAATTGTTTGCAACCACTTACCTTAAAAAAAATGAAGTACATCCAATGAATAATTTTTCTTAGTGCACTTGAGTGTGAGTAAACGGGGGAATTTTCATTTTTAGGGTGAACCATCCCTTTAAGTGCATCTAACAGTCTTTTTTTAGACTCCAAATGCAGCATCTGCAGGGAACGTGCCACAGACACAATCCTGGTGTTGTTGTGTTATTATTTCAGAGTTTGGGGCCGATGATAAGATCCACAAATCTAGCCCTGACGAAAGGGACACATCCGAAAAGGATTAAAACGATAAAAAAAGAGGAATGATGCAGCCATAGATCGCACCGTGAGGCGGTGTGTGCCATCTTCCAATTGTCTTTTAATTTCCTCGAGGAGGAGAACTTGTAATGATGTTGCTGAGAATACCTCTCTTGGGCTCAAAGCGCCGCGGTTGTGTTGTGTGCGGAGGAATTATGAAAGATGGAAATCTCATTTTAACAGATGGTTTTGCTCGTCTTATGGTTTAATGTTACAGTTTATAGATGCTTCAGATGTTTTACGGCCAGCACAAGACAACAGAGCAGGTTGAGTATTGAGGAGTTTCAGGACACTTACAGTTGAAGTCAGAATTATTAACCCCCCCGTATATTTATTTCCCCAATTTCTACTTAACAGAAAGAAGATTTTTTTAACACATCTCTAAACATAATAGTTTTAATAACTCATTTCTAATAGCTGATTAATTTTATCCTTCCCATGATGACAGTATTAAACTACACTGATGAACTGTCTGTGCACAATAAAACTAGAAGCATGTAAAATGTACTGTTAATGGGGTCAGTTTTGTTTTCATGTTGACTATAAATAGAAGCAGCAGTAGATACTGATGTTCATGAATGTTGTAGGAATAAATGCATTTTCATTTTTCAGTATGAATAACCCACAGGCCTGGATATATCATCATACACATGCTGATATTAATATCTGGACCTCATATTAAAAGGATTTCAAGAGAAAAGCTTTTTTTCACAGAATTGAACTCTCCAGAATAATAAAACTAAAACTAGATTAATAAAAAATGAAGCAATTTAGGCTATAATTAACATCAAATATCTATTATTTGAAATAAATTGTTTATAAAGTGTGTGTTTCAGTAAAAGTTTTTTTTTTTTAATTCTTCTAAAATAAATAAATATTGATGATTTTTTCATCAGTTTCCTTTGGGTGCTCCGGGTTTCCCCCACAGTCCAAACACATGCGCTACAGGGGAATTGATGAACTAAATTGGCCGTAGTGTGTATGGGTGTTTCCATTACTGGGTGGCAGCTGGAAGGGCATCCATTGTGTAAAGCATATATTGGATAAGTTGGTGGTTCATTCCGCTGTGGAGACCCCAGATTTTAAAAGGACTAAGCTGAGGAAAAATGAATGAATGAATGACTGAGAAAGGTTTTCACAGTATAAATCTCCTCCAGTTTAATAAAACAGTGTTATAATAAACTAAACTAAAAGTACATTCATATTTGACTATAAATAAAATCAAATATCTATTAATTGAAATACATTATTTATGAGGTGTGTGTTTCAGTAAAATGTTTTATTTTATTTCTGAGAACTTTTTTTAAATTTAAAATAAATCAATATTGATGACCTTTTGTTTTCTTGTGATTGTAAAATTATATGGTTAATACATAGCATATGCATTTAAAAGGTTATTCAAAATAAAACTCTGTGTTTTAAGTTGACATGTGGACAGACATGTTTAAATTACATATTTGTTTAATTAAAACTAGTGAAGTTAGTAAAACTATCGCAAAATGTCAACAAACCCCCTTTTAAACTTCTAATAATTCACATTACAGCACTGTAAAACCCAGTTAGTTGAGGTAACTTAAACCGTTTGAGGAAACCGATTGCAACAAACCATTCAAGTTCAGAAACTAATCCTAATGAGTACTGTGAACTTAATACATTTGAGTAAGCGAAGCAGTTTGAGCCCAGTAAAAATCAATAAATGGAGAACTTAATCCAACTGAGTACTGTACAACCCAATAAGTTAAGGCAAGTCAAATCGTTTAAGGAAACCGATTAAACCATTCGAGTTCAAAAACTAATCTATGAGTACTGTAATGGATCTATTACTGTACTGTAAAATCTATTTCTTCCAGTTCTCCACCATTTCCATAGGCACTCGGCACAAAAGATTTGTCGCGTAAAACCACAAACTTGCAATGCAACAGTTTACTTTTCGTTTGTTAAGAACAACAAAAATCAAAAAACAAACAAAAGCATTATTTATACTTTACCAAGCTTCCAAATAAATATGGTTTCGAAGAACGGTCAGAAGACTGTTTACCATCAAGCCCCTTCCTTCTTTCTAATCTTTTTTCCCTGTTTCTTAAGCATACAAATGACGTATGGCATTATTTAACATATAAAACGTCATGTACATAATATAATATCCCTAAATAAACATATTAAATACTGTATCAAATATAGCAATAACTTGGTATCGCAATACAAATAATATAATATTATAGAAAAATATGACGAATCTCGTAGTGCTCTTTATGGCTCTAACAAGTACTGTGAACTTAATCCATTTAAGTTGAAGTAATGAGGTATTTAAATAACTCATTAACTTCAACATTGAGTTCAAAACTCTTTTCAAATGTGTAGAATTGACTTTCAGTTAATTTTGAGTTAACTGCACTCATTTCATTTGATAGAGCTGGCTGTTGGGTTTTACAGTGTAGCAATGTGAATTATTAGAAGTTTAAAAGAGTGTGTGTTGATATTATGTGATAGTTTTACTTTTTGTAGTATTTTATTTAAACTAAATATGTATTTTAAACATGTCTGTCCATGTGACAACTTCAAACGCAAAGTTTTTATTTTAAATAACCTTTTAAACTGCATATGCTATGTATTAACCCTAATTTTACAATCACAAGGAAGCAAAAGGTCATCAATATTGATTTTATTTTACATTTTAAAAATATTTTCTCAGAACTCTGTGAAATCAAACAAAACATTCTACTAAAACACACAGCTCATAAATAATGTATTTCAATTAATACAAAGTATTAACTTCAATTATATTAAAACTGGATTCACATTTTGTATTTGTATTGATTTATTTGATCAAATTCTCTAAAAAAAAAAACTGTTGTTTTCTACTTTATTGAAATATGATTGGGAAGAAAATTCATTTCAGACTAATGCACTTCAGAAGTATGTCTAATTCGAGTATTTTAATGTATTTATTTTTTATAAATAAACATAAATGTTAAAATTAATGATGCAATTTCAGTTGTGTGTTTAATGAAACTTCTGTAATGACAGTGATGGAGGCCTCAACTGGATATTGTTCACTGTAATTTCTAAATAATGTCTATTCATATTCATATTTATTCGACATATGCTTTTTGCACAGTAGGAAACAATACGCATATCTACACGTGGGACAAATGAGGTCATAATAATAAATAATCCTATCTGTTTTTAACTTTTTATTTTTAATATGTTTTGTTTAATAAATGTATGTGAGGTAACCTTTTTGATCAGCAGTGAGTTTGGTTTTATGCACGAGCAAAAAAAAAAAAGCGCGGTCATGTGATGCAGTGTGCACGCGCGCAGTGATCAGCTGCTCTTTCTTGGTCACATGACTCTCACTCTCAGCTGAGCAGAAACAGCGTTGGCAGCATGGCATCCTCACAGCAGTGAGTTTCTCACCATTTATTTCACTGTGCATTTCTGTTTTACCCATAATGACGATCTGGTTAATACGAAAAGCGTGCTGAGGTGTTTTGTGATGCTGCGCATGCGCGGGACGCTGTTTTAAACGCAGGAACAGCGCAAGTTTTATTTCTGTCAGATGTTTTGGAAAAGTTTGAGTATTTTGTCTGCTTTGGTTGACGTTTCTGTTTTTTGTGGTGTTGTTGTGCACATAATCTGATATTTTACATGTCTATGTGTCCTTCGCGGTCTCTTGCAAAAGCGTACTGTAGTAATACCATGGTACAGTAACTTTAGCTGTTTGAAAGTCTTCCTGTTATATCTAAACTCTGTTTTATCATTAAACTCTCCGTTTAACTATATGAAATGTTTATATTTTAGGCGCTATGTGACAGATGTTAACTAACTGAAGACTTTAATAGTTTCTCTATTATGTTTGTGTCCTGGTACGAAAGTATTTAATTTAGCTTAAATCATTTATTTGAAATATATTCTGTAAGACAATGCATTCTGATTTCAATTGAAGTAAAGTTGGTTTTATATTCACACATTCTAGCTTTCTATTTAATAATATAATTTCAGAAAAGTATTCGTGCCAATTGTAAATAGCGAAATCAGATTAGCAGCCAATCACTACCAAAGCTAAATAATATCATACTTGCATGTTATTTCAGACCCAATATTCAATGTAGCGTGGTAAATAATATGTTGTTGTCAATGAATGATTTTGTGAATATAAAACTGACTTTACCTCAATCTGATTCAATGTATGACCAGATTCTGTTCAGAAAGCCTTGACTTTTTAAAAATAATAATAATAATAATAATAATAATAATAATAATAATAATAATAATAATGCTATTACATTTCTTCACATTATTTACATGTATACTATTTCAACCCTCAGTTAAGTCACCTTTAGTCATATTTTAAGATAATGCAAAAAAGTTGTCCGACACCCGCATGAAAATATAATATAATAATTTACAGTAAATACTATAGTGTTTTATTATCTATACTGATACTGAAATCTCCAATAGAGATAGAAATGCTGCTCAAAATATTGATAGAATCAGTTTTTATTTATGGGCGATATGTATTGCATCACCTGATTGAGATCATGCCCATGTGTTGTGTTATAAGGAGAAATTTGTATACCTATATACATTCAAGCCAGAAATATTTATACTCCTGTCAAATTTTGACTTCAAGTTACTTTTATTAAGATTATTTTGACCGAAATGCCACAGGCCTCTCACAGAAGATAATAAGACGATGTACAAGAGTCATTATTGTGGAAAAATATATATATATATATTTCTCAGCTTTTATTTGCATTTGATCAAAAACTTTAATTCAGAATTTTTAAGGGGTATGAATACTGTATGTACTCATAAATAATTGTTATTAGTTGAAGTCAGAATTATTCACCCCCTTTGATTTTTTTCTTTTTTAAATATTTCCCAAATGATGTTTAACAGAGCAAAGACATTTTCACAGTATGTCTGATAATATTTTTTCTTCCAGAGAAAGTCTTATTTGTTATATTTCGACTAGAATAAAAGCAGTTTTACATTTTTTAAACACCATTTTAAGGACAAAATTATTAGCCCCTTTAGGCAATTTTTTTTCTAATAGTCTACAAAACAAACCATCATTATACATTAACTTGCCTAATTAACCTAACCTGCCTAGTTAACCTAATTAACCTAGTTAAGCCTTTAAATGTCACATTAAGCTGTATAGAAGTGTCTTGACGAATATCCAGTCAAATATTATTTACTGTCATCAAGACAAAGATAAAATAAATCAGTTATTAGAGAACTACACCATACTGATCAATTATCATAATCCTGGACCAGGCCGTATCCTGAGCTGATGCTGTATTGAGAAGGAACAACACCTCTGATCAGCTACAGTGCTCTAAAACCAGAAATTCACTTTCATTGTGCAACCCCTGTGGATGTATATATACAGTTAAAGTCAAAATTATTTACTCTCCTGTTATTTTTCTTTTCTTTTTCAAAAATTTTCCCAAATTCTGGAATTTTTCACAGTATTTGCTATAATATTTTTTCTTCTGCAAACTCCTATTTGTTTTATTTTGGCTAGAATGAAAGCAGTTAAGCCTTTAAATGTCACTTTAAGCTGTATCTTGAACAGCTGTACACTTTAAGAAGTGTCTTAAAAAAATATCAAGTCAAATATTATTTACTGTCATCATGATAAAATTAGAGATGAGTTATTAAAACTATTATGTTTAGAAATGTGTTTGAAAAAATCTGCTCTCTGTTAAACAGAAATGTGTCCAGGCTAATAATTCAGGGGGACTAATAATTCTGACCTCAACTGTAAGTCTAATCTTTATTTATTTATTTAGTAATGTTTTATTATTGAGCACGGTTACCTGAAATTGTATTTGTCTTGTGTTTGCAGTGAATGTAGCCTTTGCTGCTGACATGCCGTTATGTAATAGTTGCATATACATTAAATACATAAGCATAAGTCTAATCCACATACTGACAAAGAAAATAAAAGCAGTACCCAGATTTCAGCTTGGATCTATTCATTTTCTGAATGGCCGTGTAATGAGCGTAATAATGTGGAGCGCGCCTGTTATTATCATAAAATAAAACCCCTCTGGCGTCTCTCCGCTATCCTGCTGGGCTTTATTTTGTGATAATGATGCCCTGACTGTACATTTTCCCTGACATATGACATTTGTTATCGGGATGGGTGGTTTAACAGGAGTGAACGTGTGAGGCGTTTGTGCTTTAATGTGCAGAGACGTGAATCTGAGCCCTGACCTTTGCCCACAAACTGTACGAACGCCACAATCACTGTTAATCTTTACACTCCCAATCAGTGATAAAGCACTCTGGATTTCTTATAGATGAGTGTAAGGATTGTTAAGTAGAACTTTTAAAGGACATTTTAGTGTAATGTTGTTAGGGTTGCACAATATATTGTTTCAGATGCTGATGCAGTGATATCGATGCTGAAATGATATATTGCGCAACCCTAAAAGTATCGTATTAAAAAGTCTTTTAAAAGTCCAATCACTGTTAATCTTTACACTCCCAATCAGAGATGAAGCACTCTGGGTTTCTTACAGATGAGTGTAAGCATTGTAAAATAGAGCTGTAATCAGGGGAGGGTGCAGGGCCGGAGTGGGACTCCTTTTCAGCCCTGGAGTTTCAAGAATGGCCCACTTCAGTTTAGGCATGGGATAAGATTCTGACGATATTATAACCTTGGATAAAAATATCATGGCATCACTGTGTTTTAATTACTGCTCTAAAATGTTTTCTTTTTAAATGTCTGGGTAAAAAAATATTATTTTTTTTCCCCTTTGAACACAATATGTTTTATTTTTAGAAACGTTTATAATATTTTGGAGCTGTAAACATGTCAGGCTGAATAATTCAAATGAATCATTGACTTCTGCTGACTTCATTGGAATCAAAAACACTGATTTCTTTACAGTTTAAAACGGCGTCTTTGTATATCTTTTCTGCTGGAGATTAGAGCTGTGAACCTACACTAGTCTCACGGTTCGGTTGCGATTATCATGCCATCGATTCGGTTCAATTCGATATTTCGGTGCATCGACGATGCTTTCCATACACAGTTTTATATTTTCTTCACAGCAGCATTTCTTGTATTAAAATGTATGAATACATTTATATTTATATACTATTTGTAATACAATTTTGTCGTTTAATACAAACAGTCAGATATACAAACTGTAACTTTAAACAAAACGAGCATTTAGCAAATAATATAAACAAATATAAACATCCAGCTCAATTTCTGATCCTTGTCTAGTTCTCTTACACCTCTTTGATTGGTCACACCCTCATCAAAAACGGTTGCTATTGGCTCTTGCGCGCTGCGCTCTTCAGATAAGTGACACTGATAAGCGGCAGGCGGCAGCGGCGATCTCACAGCTGATGTATGATAGACACGGTGGAGAAAACTCTGCAGACACGCGCTCACTTCTGTATCCAAACGTAATGCTGTAAAACAGCCGAGAGGAGAAGAAAAGCCACCCCAGCAGGTCAAATGGGCCACTGGGTGTGTGTGTGTGTGTGTGTGTGTGTGTTTGTGAGAGAGAGAGAGACAGAGCGAAAGCGAGAACGAGAGAGAGAAAGAGAGAAATGGAGTAGGCTACTTTCATTCTCTCGATCTCAGTGAAATAGGGGCTATTGTTGTATATGTCAGTGAAAGACTGATCCAGCAAACACACACAGTGAAATTGTGCACAGTTTATGAGTTTTAAGTAGTTAAAGCGCTGTAAATATTCGCGATCGCCTCCCTTGCGACAGAGCGCATATAAGGTAAATGACTTCAGTAATAACCGGTTATGATTATTACTGAACCGATACCGAATTGTCCGCGTCTACATCGCGATGCACAGAAGAAACGATTAATTTTGACACCCCTACTGGAGATACTGTTGTCCTAAAAACTAAACAAAAAAAATGTAAATATAAAATCCTATATAACCCACTGGTCCTACACCACCCAACCCGCTCTGAGCTGGGATCAAATCAGTGACATTCCGCATGGGAGTCGATAGCTCTACCAAGGAGACTAAAGACCATTGCCTCTAGCGTCTGTCGTTAGAGCACCTTTAGAGGTCAGAGGAGGGAGGTTTACTTACACAGCACTTACTAGCTGGCCTCCGTTACACTCTCCCCCCCAAAACCTCACTCCCACCCGGGTCACGGCACCAATATAACCCCGCCGGTCCTACACCATCCAACCTGCTCCGAGCTGGTATCGAACTGGCGACCTCTTGCATGGGAGTCGGGTGCTCTACCAAGGAGGCTAAAGACCATGGCCTCTAGCGTCTGTCACTAGAGCACCTTTAGAGGTCAGAGGACTGAGGTTTTACCTGCACAGCACCTACTAGCTGGCCTCCGTTACACATACCTTGAAATGGTATAGCAGAAAATTTTGGCGGTTTTAAAGCCTTGACTTTTCCAAACTGCAGTATATACCTTGAAAACTGTTATCGTCCCATGTAGAGATCTGCGCGGGACTAAATTTTTAATCCCGCTCCTGCCAGGTTTTAGCCTGGACCTGACCGCTCCCACTTATATTCAGCATTTGTTGTCCCACTGCCTGACCCACCCCATTTTCTACCCGCCGCGCCCGTTACCGCTAACGAGTGGGGGGAGAACAAAACCGAAAACCACCCAGCTGTACAGAGTCCAGACATCCAATTAGCTGTCTTATAAACATACACGCACACACATAAGTACCAAGCACACACACACACAGACAACAAAAAGCTCGCTCACACACTTAGACAGCACAAAGCTCTCTCTCTCATTCGCACACACACACACACACACACACACACACGTCTGATTTGCACACATGCACATGCACACACAAACAAGCTAAACGCAGCATCAAGCTGTCTCATTCACACACATACATACCCGTGCTCGATCGCTCGGGAGTTGGGAGCGATATTTTTGGACCGCCCGCACCCGTCCAAAATTAAACCAGTTACCGCTTTATTTGGAAAATTATTCCCGCACCGTAGAAATCTGGTCGGGTCCTGCATCTCCTGTAGTGCTAAAGGGAAGGGGTGAATAGCCCTTGGAGCAAATATTTTTTTCAGGACCACACTCGAAACCGAGGGGTAAGAAAATTTCCCAGAATTGAGTGGAGGAACTTTGTAGGCTAATCGGCTGCCAGCATAAAACTGGTTCCCTCGAAAAATTCCTTTAGGATTTTTCTTTAGGCTTTTCGAAGATTGCAAATAATAAGCTCTGTGTTCAAACACTGTTCAATACACTTACACGTTTTGTCCAGCCGGATAATCCTCACACGAAAATACAACTTTGAGCACTTTTGGATCTTGAATGCAAAAAGCTAACAGGCTATAGACGAATACCATGTTTATAAATATTCAGGATGGGACAGAAAAAAACAGGAGCACTAGCATTTATCATGAGGGAATGACATCCGATGTGGTAGAGAGTTTGTTGTTGTATTCGAGATAAAATATATTGATTTTATATATATATATATATATATATATATATATATATATATATATATATATATATATGTATGTATATTATTTACATAATGCTTTCAGCGTATTATAACAGCTCGTCACCCAGTGATAAGCACAGTTATTCTGCAAAATTAACGTTAAAGTGAGCATCGTTCGTCTGACAGGTCCATTTGCAATAGCGCTCTCCCAATGGATATTGATTAGACGAAATGACCAAGCATCCAGCCTTAAATATACAATCTCAAGATGTGCGATGTTGAGTTGGGACTATGATTTGTGCAGTCACAGTTTTAATAATTAATTATTCAATAAAACCATGCAGTGTTATTTTATAATTAATTATTCGGTTTCTGTACCTGAATACTGTTTGACTCCATAAAGCATTGTTGATTTTATTTTTCTTTGTTCTGTTGTATTTATTTGTAATTTTAACTAAATATGTAAAATTGACTCACTGAAGCATGTATTACACAAACTAACGTTACCACAAAAGTTAATTGTCAATGTATAATTCCCATCCTGAATTTATGTATCATCCGAGAATAATGAGAAATGGACCAAATGTGGAGGCTTTGAAACGCATCTGTCATATGAAACATTGATTCTTTCGTGGCCCTCTTTCGGCTCTTGACAGATGTGGTTTCTATGAGCTGGGAAATGCAGCATAAAGGTATTTTTGTTCACACAGAATAACGGGAACAGATTTTGCCTGTGATCATAATGTTTTTCAGCTGTTTCTGGCACGGAGCTTCTTCCCTGTTATCATGTGATGGATCCAGCTCTTGCGTAACAGCTGTGTTTCAGCCACAGAGCTTTTTCAGCAGATTTCTGATCGAGAATGTGCGTGTGCTCCTTGGTAGATAAAAATGAACGCTGATTATATTTAGGGCTGCATGATACTTTAAAATCTGAGATTGCGCAATGTAGTTTTTCTGCAATGTATATTGCAATGTGAATACATTTTTCATCAACATTTCATAATTATTTTCTTAATATATTTTTATTCTGGAGAAGATCTTGTTTATTTATTTAATTTGGCTGTAATAATAATAAAATATGTAAAAAAAAATTTAAAGGACAATATGATTTTAAGCCCCCTTAAAAATCTAATAATGTATTATTCTAATAATAATAATAGTATTTAAATAAGTTGTCTAGTGTGTGCTGCATTCAGCGGTTTTTCTTTCTGCAAGCTTCATGTTTGATTTAAGTGCAAGTAAATATTGGCAGCTCAGTTCAATGTTTTGTTTAATAGTTTAGTTTTGTGGTAATCCTGCAATAAGTTGGATAAAGTACATCCCGCCGGCTGATATAAAACTCTTTAGTCAACAGCTGCTGATAAAATTTGTCAGGCTTTATTCTAGTGGTGTAACGGATCTCAAATCTCATGGTTTGGATCACATTATGGTTTTTTTAGTCTCGGATCGGACCATTTTTCAGATCAGCCAAAAGGGAAGGAGACAAATGTAATTTGCTTTCCACTTATTACAAAAGTAGCTCTGCAAGACACTTTTGGTCTTTAAAGTGTGATTTTATTCAAATAAAATGAAGAAATAATCTGCCGAATAAGGTGAAAAACTACTGTGAAAAACTCACTACTACTGTTGCTGATAATGTTAGAAATCTAACATTAAAAATAAATGTGGGTTGTACACATGATAGTCTCATCTTCAATAAACGATTCAGTTATTCACTCTTAAAACTTCATGTTTCAATGCTACATGATCATTTTTGAAGAATTATTCAGTAGCATATTTTTGATGGCTGATTGTCGCCACCTATTGGTTAAATAATGTAATTGCTGCCTACAACTTTCATTTTTGAGCATCAAGTTAAATGCATACGATGGTGATTTTAATCTTTACCACAAACATCAGTGGTTTTATCTAAGCTATAAACTGTTATCCCAATATTTCTGTGTTATTTGACTGTTTGTAACTTTTTAACTAACTCAAAACACTGAAGACTGAATCTCTTTCTTCATTTTTGCATTTTTTTAAAACACAGATTTGAATGCAGCGATTGCAAGGATTATTAAACATATGTAAATCACTATCATTTATAACGTATGTAGCGTGGGTGTTGAGATCCCGATCTTTTAATGATTAATCGTGCAGCTTACACTGAATGCATTGATGCATTTTTAACAAGTAGTGACAGAAAACACCTTTAATAACTTAAGAAACCCACCACATCCCTAATAACCTAAACCCCCACAACTTCTTCCATCATTATATTTTACAGGAAAGCCTAAACGCTTTCATGCATGTGATTTGAAAAAAAACGAGAGGTGATCTCTACTGTTGCTGATAACACTGATAAATGTATAAATCTAACATTATACTTTGTACAACCCATATACGTTTTTTGTCTCATCTTCAATAAATGATTCAGTTATTCACTAGTGAAACCTCTTGTTTCAATGCTACATGATCATTTTTGAAGAATTATTCAGTAGCATATTTTTGATGGCTGATTGTCGCCACCTATTGGTTAAATAATGTAATTGCTGCCTACAACTTTCATTTTTGAGCATCAAGTTAAATGCATACGATGGTGATTTTACTCTTTACCACAAACATCAGTGGTTTTATCTAAGCTATAAACTGTTATCCCAATATTTCTGTGTTATTTGACTGTTTGTAACTTTTTAACTAACTCAAAACACTGAAGACTGAATCTCTTTCTTCATTTTTGCATTTTTTTAAAACACAGATTTGAAAGCAGCGATTGCAAGGATTATTAAACATATGTAAATCACTATCATTTATAACGTATGTAGCGTGGGTGTTGAGATCCCGATCTTTTAATGAATAATCGTGCAGCTTACACTGAATGCATTCATGCATTTCAAACAAGTAGTGACAGAAAACACCTTTAATAACCTTAGAAACCCACCACATCCCCAATAACCTAAACGCACCACAACTTCTTCCATCATTATATTTTACAGGAAAGCCTAAACGCTTTCATACATGTGATTTGAAAAAAAATGAGAGGCGATCTCTACTGTTGCTGATAACACTGATAAATGTATAAATCTAACATTATAATTTGTACAACCCATATAAAATTTTAGTCTCATCTTCAATAAATGATTCAGTTATTCACTAGTGAAACCTCTTGTTTCAATGCTACATGATCATTTTTGAAGAATTATTCAGTAGCATATTTTTGATGGCTGGTTGTCGCCACCTATTGGTTAAATAGTGCAATTGCTGCCTACAACTTTCATTTTTGAGCATCAAGTTAAATGCATACGATGGTGATTTTAATCTTTACCACAAACATCAGTGGTTTTATCTAAGCTATAAACTGTTATCCCAATATTTCTGTGTTATTTGACTGTAACTTTTTAACTAACTCAAAAGACTAAAGACTGACTCTCTTTCCTCGTTTTTGCATTTTTAAAACAGAGATTTGATTGCAGCGATTGGAAGGATTATTAAACATATGCAAATCACTATCATTTATGACGTATGTAGCGTGGGTGTTGAGATCCCGATCTTTTAATGATTAATCGTGCAGCTTACACTGAATGCATTCATGCATTTTAAACAAGTAGTGACAGAAAACACCTTTAATAACCTTAGAAACCCACCACATCCCCAATAACCTAAACGCACCACAACTTCTTCCATCATTATATTTAACAGGAAAGCCTAAACGATTTCATGCATGTGATTTGAAAGACATGAGAGGCGATCTCTCTGCTATCCAAAATTATGATTAATCTACCAGCAAAAAAAATGTAACATATATATAATATAAATATAAATCTGTCAAGCTTCATTCTGTCCTGATTTATTATCCCTCTTTTATAAAATGCATTGTTTTAATAATGTTTTAATGTGTGTCTTCAACAGGAAGGCAGTGTATTGGCTGGGAAATGACACCCTGAGGGTGTCAGCGGCTCTGTTTGCGCTGAACCGCGAGCGTCTGTGTGTGGGTCTGAAAGCGCTGCCGGATCTTCAGGCTGGATCTGTGGTGGTTCTGCAGGGAGGAGAACAGAAGCAGAGATACTGCACCGACACCGACGAGACCTTCAGACAGGTCTGTAACACACTGCAGCTTTCATCACATCTCAAGATTACTGGGAAAGCCAGATCACTGGGTTGTTGTTAGAAGGGATACAGCTACGGATGGAGGTTAACGAGAATTATTTACATTATTTTATTTAAATTATTTTTCTTTGAATGCAATGCAGGCTCATACCTTATTTTATTTTATGTTATTTTTTATTTTATTTAATTAAAAAAATTAAATTAATTTAATTAATTTATTTTATTTTATTAAAATTGTATATAAAACACAGAGAATGCTGGCTTAAGGATATTATATTTATTATATTATATTATATTATATTATATTATATTATATTATATTATATTATATTATATTATTAATTTTCCCAGCATTAAACTTAACTTAAAATGTTATGGACTATATATTATCTAGTACAATTGTTGATATATTTTCTTATGAAGTAAAAAAAGAACATTCAAATTATGTAATGATATATTTTTTCTTTTAATTTTAAAAAGTAGCATGCAAAAAAAGTTCAACAATGTTAAAAAAAATAATCATCAGCACATTTTAGATTGTGACCAGCTTAAATCATCATTAAAACTAAAAGTATTTGCATTTTTTTAAGTTAACTTCAAGTAATATTTAGAGATATTGTGACAAATAATGCAGTAACTAATCCAAGACATTAGAGAATTCCTTCACCCTAAAACACAGTTTTTATATATTATTTATTTATTTATTAGATAAATTAATAATGAGTATTTATTATTTATTTATAATTGTTTATTACCCATTAATTATTTTTTTATTGTTCATTTATATATCTATTTATTAGAATGTATTTTTTATTTTCTATTCATTTTAAATACATTTTAATGATAAATTAATATTTATTAATACAATTATTTATTCATTGTTTTTTATTTATTTGTTTATTTTTATTTTTATTTATTTTTTCTGATTTATAAACTATTTATTCATTGTTTATTATATTTTTATTTATTAGAATTTATTTGTTACTTTCTATTTATTTTTGGATAAATATTTAATCATATATAAATATTTATTAACGCAACTATTTATCCATTGCTTATTATATATTTGTTTATTTGTGTTTTATTTATTAGGATTTATTTATTCATTTTTGTATTATGTGTATATTTTTTTATTTAATAGGATTTCTTCATTATTGTCTATTTATTTTAAAAACTATATTTATTCAAAAATATTATATTTATGTTTTTTATTTATTTATTTTGTTTTATTTCTTTATTTATTTTTTATATTTATTTCTTTATTTTTTATTTCTTTATTTAATAAAATATTGAATTAACACCTATGCAATGTTTGCATATTGTATAAATAAAAGTAAAATGTTGGGTCTGCCATTGTTGTTTTACCTGACCATGCTAACTAGTCTAACTGTTATTTTAATTCATTTTATTGATTGATTTATTTTTATTTTATTTTTATTTTTTTATTGCATTTTTTTTAAATAAAATAATGAAATAACACCTGTATGCAATGTTTGAATATACTATATATCAGTGGGCAATGATGCATCTGCAAGTATTGTTTAACCTGACCATGCTAACCAGCCTGACTACATGCACAGACAGCACATTTTCATGCATCATCTCTACAGCTAGCTAAAAAATAAAAAGAAACCCTGCATGCGTGCACAGTGAATTTATAAGTAACGTCTCGGTGACTCCACTTTTATTTCTAAATGATTATTGAGCATTCGTCTCTCCATTACACCCCTTCATAAGTGCTGCTCGTGTTTATGTTATGCTAAATGGTAATTTGTGTTGTCAAGAGGCGTTGGAGTTCAGACCCTTTATTTCCGCGCTCCGCTTGGGTGTCTGATAGAGCCCTGTAATTTACAGCATTTACATAAGTTGATTGAACATAATGAGCAGCGTGTTTCTCATTCATTAGCTGCAAAAAACGTTTGTTGTTTGGGAGAGTTTGCGTGACGGTGATGTTTTGAGTTTTGTTGTTGTGCTTGTTTACTACTCGAGGGCTTCCTGCTTTCAACTTAATTTAACTGTAAATAATTCATAACCATTAATTTACTCATCTAGTTTTTTATTTTGCATGCTTCTCAATTGACTAGCGTTACTAATTGTGCATGTGAGGTTGCTTGCATGCTTTTACAGTTGAAGACAGAATTAATAGTCCTTCTGTATATTTTTGTTTAACACTTTTCTAAACATGATAGTCTTTAAAACTGATTTAATAACTTATTTTATCTTTGCCATGATGACAGCACATAATATTAGACTAGATATTCTTCAAGACACTGCTATACAGCTTAAAGTGGCATTTAAAAACTCAACTAGGTTAATTAGGGTAAAGTTAGGGTAATTGGGTAAGTCATTGTACAATTCAATTCTCCTTTATTTGTATAGCCCTTTTACAATGTAGATTGTATCAAAGCAGCTTCAGATAGAAGATCATAGTAAATTGAAACCGTGTAGCAGCGATCGTGTTAACCAAATATTCTCATCATTGACAGATTTTTTTTAGCAGTGACGGAAAAATCTGAAGGTGATCTGTCATTTTGACGGATTATGCGGAGGGTGATCTATTGTAATTTGTAGCTAACAGTAATTCCCACTCCTGTCCAGCAGATGGCGATTGTCCTTGTTTTGTCTCCTCTTTGTCACCGCTTAGTAGAGGTCTGCATTCCGAATTTCCGAATAAATTTCCGAATAAATCGCTGGAGCGGTCGGTAACGGGTTTAATTTGGGACGGGAGCGGGCTGTCTAGCAATATCGCGGATATTGCTATGCGAATGAGAGAGAGAGAGAGATATTGATTGATTGATTGATTGATTGATTTATTTATTTATTTATTTATTTATTTATTTATTTATTTATTTGCCTGTGTGTATGTTAGTGCGCGAATGAGAGAGAGAAAGAGCTTTCCCAGATAGCAAAATACACTTTGGCCAGTTCCGGCTAGATTCTCGCATGCCGGAGACTTACCACTCGGCCCGGCTCTAGCTGCTGGACTCCGGATGCTTGTGGACTCACTGCCCGATTCCGGCCCGAATCAATCGGGCCAGATGCGGCGGCCGTAGGCGAGCCGACGCTGCCGCATCCGCGCCGGAATCGGCCCGGAGCTGGCGCGACCCAGTATTTATATACCTTTATATAAAACCTTTTGGTATTACCTTTTGGTATTGGTACTTGATACATGGTATTACAACCCTTTGAGTTGATATAACAGCAAACGCCTGTGTGTCTGCTTGTGTGTGTGTGTGTGTGTTAGTTGCGTGCGCGTATGAGAGAGAGAGAGAGAGCTTTGTCTGTGTGTGTGTGTGTGTTTATACAGACAGCTTGGGTGTCTGGACTGTATAGCTGAGTGATTTTCAGTTTTGTTCTGCCCCGCTCTTTAGCGGGATCGGGCGCGGCGGGCAGAAAATGGGGCGGGTCGGGCTGCGGGACAACAAATTCTTTATATAAGCGGGAGCGGTCGGGTTCGGGCTAAAACCTGGCGGGTGCAGGCGGGAGCGGGATTCAAAATTTAGTCTCGCGCAGATCTCTACCGCTTAGTACAGTTGCAAAAATGTGCCGCAGCACACATTACTCTCGGGCTGATTCTGGCTTGGATGCGGCAGCGTCGGCTCGCTTATGGCCGCCGCATTTGGCCCGATTGACTTGGGCCGGAATCGGGCAGTGAGTCCACAGGCACCCGAGTATGGCAGCAAAGTCGGGCCTAGGAGTAAGTCTCCGGCAGGTGAGAATCTAGTCGGAACTGGCCAGAGTGTATTTTGCTATCTAGGGTGCGTTGGAGTGTGTTGTGAGCACTACCGGACTCAGAAGGGTGCAGCCGCGCCCCTGGTGCAGAAGGAGTGCATGCTGTAGTATTTTTATCCGGTGAAACGAGTGCTTGCAGGATCGGGAAATCCCACATTCAGAGAATCAAGCAAACTTAGTTCTGATCACAGCCTTAGGAGAATTGTTTCCTAACAACAAAACGCTGGCTGAAGTGGCGCTGGTAATTCCGGTCTTTGGTCACAAGAAGTCAACTTTCCGAGGCAAAGACACAGAATTTTATGATAACTGCCTCTGCATCTGTCTCCCTTGATGTGTTTGATTTCGCATAGGCAAGCACCCAGTTCAGGTCAACGCGGGAGGAAGATACGAGTCAAGGCAGATAGGAGTTCATTTTTTTTTGTTTTGTTCATTTTATTAATTTGTCAAAGAAATAAATGAATAATTTAGCCTATATGCTCGTCATGCAAGTTCATTATTAAAATATAAGTGAAAAAAGCGATCAGAAAGTCTGCAAACGATCAATAATAAGTTATGATGGACATTTTACAACCCTCTCCATCAAAATAACGGACAATGAGAAAGTCTAACGCGACCTCTGCCGTGCAGTTTTCATTCAGTTTTCAGAGTTTAAGTTCAGTTCAGCTCAGTTCAGTGTGGTTTAATAACCAATACTGAGAGTCCAAACACTAAAGAGCAAATCCATCGATGCGCAGCTCTACAGATCCTAAACCATGCAAGCTAGTGGCGACAGCAGCGAGAAAAAAACTTCACCAATTGGCGAAAGTGAAGAATTAAAAAAACTAGAGAGAAACCAAGCTCAGTTGGGCACGGCCATTTCTCCTCTGGCCAAACGTCTTGTGGAGAGCTGCAGCCTAGGCGCCGGAGGCTGGAGAATGCTGGACATCATCTGAGACTCGTCTGTCCCTGGAGTCTCACAGCAATCAGTCTCATGCTCTTCACTCCTCCATGACCACCACAGCAGCTGCTCAGGATACAGCCTGGTCCAGGATTATGGACACCTTGGGATCATCTCATTGCTGATCTTGGATTGAATCAGTGGCGCTGCATAGTCTCTGAGGGCCTCGAGATGAATATCCCCAGGTGGAGATAGAGAATGAAGAGAATAATTAGCGTAGCTGCAGTTCATAGCGTATAAAAACGAGATGCAGAAACTTTTGTGTGGAGCACATTCACGTATCACACCGCTAAGTGATGCACTGAGTGTATGCTTTACTA